TGACTGCAGAGGAGGCAGCCTTGCTCTTTACTCCTCTGTAAGTGATTCCTCTAGTGGTAGTTTAAGCTACAGGATGGGTGTAACAGAGCACAAAATTGGTTGAATTGGTATCACATTCATTTTAGTGCTAAGCAAGAGGCAGGAGAGCAGTTTCCTATAAACTCGGTAGTCTCTGAGCTGCCACATCACTTGAGATTAATGGAGGGAGATCTGCAGAGGGACTCCAGCTGAGGCCCTGGGAAAGAATCTGTATCAGGTTTAGGATCTCTTCTGACAAGGCGCACGAGGAAAATACCCAAGTTGTCAAATTTAGGATGAAGAAGGGAAAAGGGTGGTGAATATAGCACTGGGCAGAACTTGGATCTTACTAAGACCTCTGGAAAGACCCTAGGAGTGCCTGTGATAATAAACATGTGAGCTGAAAGGAGTTACATGTTGCATGAAGAGGTGATAGAGTATGTAGGTAGAGAGAAGGATCTGCAGAGCAGCTGGAGTGGCTCAGACATTTCCCCTGCATGTGAGACTTCCCATCCTGTACAATAGGCCCATGCACTAGGAACCTGACTGACTTTTTTCTTAATTCTTCATTGACAAGTACAGGCTTGAGGTGTCTGAAGAAAATGGAGAAAGATCTACTGCTCTCAGCCCCCACTACTGATAAACAGGAATTGTTGAAGACTCTGACTAGGAAAGCAACTCATAAAACTTATAAACTGAGAAGAATGTCCTCAAACTGGATCGTCAAAGCAGCATTATATTGCTATATCCCCTRCAGCTAACTAAGGATAATGAAGAGACTATAGGGCCCATTGAGATAAGAAGAGGGAAGGAGTTGATGCATTTTACATTCTTTAAATTGAATTCCTTGAGTGAAGACTCAAGGACTCATGGCTAAGATTCCAAAACCTAAACTTTGAAGAACTCATATAGTTGCTAAATGCTCTAGGGTCTGCAGGTAAAGGAAGCCAGTGAGCCTTAGTAGGAGACCACATCTCAAATTCTCTTTCACTCTTTCATATGGTCTTCTGATTATAATTATGCTGATGTTACACCCAGAACTAAGATTTGGGAGTCCAGAGCCTGAAGGATCTGGGTTTATTTGTTTGCTTGTTTGTTTGAAAAACTGCAGTTTGTAAGAACTGCAGTTAGGAAGAAAGCTTGAGTCAACTGAGGCCAGTGCTTTGTAATTACTGCAGAGATGAGCAACAGGTTATAAGCAGAGATGCTGTCAGGATTCAGTTGACAATAGAGCTTGGAAATCTAACACGCCAGCAGCCACCCTGATTACAGGAAGCTGGGAAGTTGCAGGTCTCTGCAGGGCCTGATGATGTGGAAAGAAGACTGGAGCTGAGGGGGGCCGAGCATGTTCCCCTCTTTTCTCAAAAGCATGAGACATTTGTTATTACTAAGATGAGGCTTGGAATGATGGTTAGGATTAGCTCTGTCTACTCTAGAGATCACAGCCGGCTGCTGCAGGCCCACACAGCTGGCCATGGGCTGAAGCCAGTCTTTGAAAACACCTTGTTTGCAGCTCTGTTACAGGGTGTGCATGTGTATGGTCCAACATGCATGAAGATCCAAGCTCGCTATCCCATGCTGGTGTTCATATGTACTATTGTCAGCATATTTCCCACATCTAAAGCACAGTAATGGTGAGGATGAGGTTGGGAATCCAAATCTTGAAGAACTTATATTGTTACTAGATGTACTGGCTGCTGCAGAACCATCAGTATTAGGAACAGAGCCGCGGGTCAATAAAGGCCAATGATTTCTGAGATTTCTTTTTGTTGTAGCTGGAGACGTAAGTCTCATAGTAATAATTAAGGTAAGAATTAGATTTGGACTTTGGAAATCTATAGCTTAAAGCACTGAGTTGTTAAGGAAGCTACAAGCACTGCAGTGTGCTGGTATCAATAATGAGCATCTCTACCTGCCCTGTGGTCGGGTCTGGGTAAAGGATTCTATATCTGGATAAACTGTTTTATTTTCAAGATCTGCTGGATACTGGTGTCAACAGTCACAAATGCCTTTATTTTCCTATTCTGCAGTATGAACAAACTCTTAGTTCTGTCTCTAGATATTTTGAGAGTGAGAGATGAGGTTTAGAATTCAAGACTCAGAGAATTAAGAGTTGAGGTTGCTCCTGGATATACAGACTTCAGCAAAGAGCTGTCGCTGCTAGGGGCCTGCACGCTTCTGTTTTCTTCTGCTGTGGAGGTTAATTCATTGGATAGAAGGCAAGGGCTGCTGGCTGCTCAGGAGTTGAAAGTTTGCAGATCTGTATTTTAATGCTGGCTGCTGCAGGGCCTGCAGAACCAGGGTCAGTGCTGACACCTTATACTCTTACACTGTRCTGAAAGGCACCAGTGCTTTTAGGTCTCTTTTGATCAAGCTCTGGGCCTTGCTTACAGGCACGGCTCTTTATGAGGGTAGAGTTTCAGAATCTGCAGTGTTCTGAGCCAAATTTATTCATGAAGCTGAAGTTACCTGCGAGTTAGCATGAGCGTGAGCACTAATGCAAGCTCCACTACAAGGCTAGTTCCCTTCATAGAGCCAACGTTATGGTTTGGGGTGGTGCTAGAGGCAGAATTAGAGAAATTAAGACTATATCTGGATATAAAGCAGGACCAGGGGCTTCCACCATACCAAGCAGTGCAGACTGCTTTCAGAAAGTATTTTCCAGAGACCATCCATCTGAAAACTGTAATGTGGTCTCTGA